AAAGTGAGAATCCATACCTTGTTCAAGACAAATCGGAAAAATAAGGAATAGCTATCTACGCCGCAACCATCAAAACTGCAATTATACTGACATCCATCAAAGACAATTAGACGATTTTGATAACACGTTAATCCTGGTACAGTGAAACGCTATTTCTAATATTGCTTCAAAATATTACCCTAGTCAAGACGCACGACACACAAAACAATTATATCTGTCTTTTATCTGAATTGTAGCTGAGCCTGTTTAAGACAATTTCGGGTGAAATGTATATCCTGTTTATGACAGCAAGGCCAAAAATCCCCGTATAGCAAATATATGGGAGTACACTCCCCCCACTCCTTGGCTCCCGGGTGTATATCATTTATCAATGATAGCTCATCTGCATTTTATTTTGATAATGCAGTCATTTAGTGTTAAAACAATAGAAAGTTGTGGTGTGACGTAATTATGAGATAGGGCAACTCAAACATATTGTTACAATGTTAGTTTAAAATAAACAGATAGCGAGATTGATGATGCAAAATTGTTCCAACTACTCAGTACTTTCATAGAATACAGCAACGATCGAAACCTGCTTTTTGATTGCCCCTCAATTACTAACAGTACCCCTAAGTGCGGTTAGGTTCCCCCTCCACTTCCCTCGTGTGCCCCACGGTCCATGATATTATTATCAAGATTCCAAACGAGTATCCAACTATTTTTATTGATTTTTAAGTAAATACTTACCAACTGTTCTATTTTCAAAGTCACAGAACTCGTATTCTACCTCATGCTCGYTCTGTGAACACTTGCATTTATCACTTTGTAATTTTAGCAAACACGAAGAGGTGCACGCCTATAAAGAACATGTCAATTACTGTTATACCATATGATACGGGCTCTCTGTATTTTTAATTCAGGGGTTGCAGAGAAAAAGAGAGAGGGAGGGTTTTGTAACGAAGTTGTTTGGCTGCTGTAGTACACAATTACATCCCCTTTTTTCCCGCGTGTGAAATTGATCAGCCGATATATACGAGTTTTCAAAACATCTGCTTACAAGGAAATGTATAGTCGACTTCACTGTAATATTTAATTAGTTATTTCTTATAGTTTTGTCCAGTTATCGGTTCGTTAGTTTTCGTGTTTATGTAGAGTCCCAAGTGCATTCGTAAGTCGCAGTATTAGTCCTCGAACGCCTGATAAAATATTCAGTTTGGCGTRGTGGTAAAAAGTAGTAGTATTGTCGTCTATTCGGTGAGTTTTATGTAATTCTATTTCGTTTTTTGTAGCGCATATGTTTCATGTTTATTATTAGAATAATGTGCGACAAAGCAACCAGCTTGTAGCTTTATAATTYTGCTTAATATTTGAACGTTTCACGTATCTGTGCAGCATCTCAACCGTCAAAATGAAGACTACATTCATCATATATTTCATTGTTAAATTTGGTGAATTTGAGAAGCTCTAACGTTTCGAGTTTCCATATTTTCAGTTATGCYCCCAATAGATTTTCTCTGACTGTTCCACTTCGAATAACTGAGTCATGCATCATTCCAGTATTACCTATTAATTGTTCTTCGTTTTCACTATACGTCACAGCGGCCATCTTGGTGGAACTTCAACAAAGGATTTCTCACATGGCATCTATTTAGTCTCATTCCTCCAACATGGCCGCCGGTCTTTTATAATTTGAATCTCAAAAAGWGGGAATGGTTGACAACGATCAATACGAAGAGCTAATAATTATATGCTTATCATTCATCATCAAATCTTACCATCTTGGAGTAGCTCATGTTGTAATATATGCGAAAAATGTTGTCYTCAGTTAGCTCATTGGTGCTTTCACATGTGCCATTTTCAAAAGGATCAATGCGTAGAACGTGATTCTACGAAGAAATAAAAGAATCGGAAATTCAGGCAACTTCAATTCCACAACTATCTGGATATATTTTTTTTATCTGCAAATTTTTCTGCTTTGGAGATGGCTTGCCGTTCTGTCCAAAAATATTGGAGAAAATTGAAATACATTSAATTTGGTTACATATGTGGCTCCGCGAATATGTAAAGAAACCTTTAGGGCTAAAAAATGTGAGAAAACAAGAAAATGCGAAAAATCCGTATCTCATCATCACTTTGAAATCTCCGTCATATTTTTGCTAGCTACCTTTCTGATTTCGATACTTGTCACTTTTCCTGGTGCGATACTAATTCCTTCATTGAGTGGAAAAGGCATTTCATTTTGAAGACCAATAATGATTCTAAAACCAGCGTAAGGGGAAACTTTAGGCAGGTATTCGTYTTGCTGGACATTCATAATTAGAGTTAGTCCTGCAGAACAAAACAACGCATTTATATATTGTTGATATTGCGAAGAATGTTTACTTTTTTTATCAAAACTCGCAAGGAAATTAGAAGCTAAACATTGCAAGACTGAYGCAGATTGATCGCGCGTTACGATGGATGTTACCAGCCAATTTCTGACCTCTGCAGGATGCAAGAATGGTTTCCTTCATCAATCCAGACGCGTGGCGTCCTTTACGCCTGGCACGTGCGTACTATAGTGGAAATATTACAATATATTTTATAAGCTCTCGATGACCATCAAAACGCTAGAAATCGCATTTCCAAGAGCTATTATTTCAAAATTTCCTGGGGGAGGACACCTAGACACCTTAATACACCCACATTCTGCAGTCGTTAGCCCCCGCCCCTCCCCCCAAATCCAAAATATGTATCGCGGTCCCTGACATGTGCGTACTAGCCAAAAAGTCCACGCTAAGCGCCTGCAATCTATAATGCAACGAGCAAAACAAAAAACAACAACAGCAAAAAAATAAAAAAAACACGTTTATATCGGCATCAATGCGAGCAATTGCATTCCAGAGCCGTAGACAGAGGGTGTGTTTTGGTACTTAATTTACATTTATCCCTGCCACGGATAAATGTTTTACCGTGTGGATCACCAGATAAAACTGCCTGGAGTCCTGCTCTGTTTTCCCCTCGCTTGTCTTTTATCGTTGCTGGATTAAAGCTGTAGCAGTTACCGACCTCATCAATCCACAGGTGACGCCAGAGCATAGTGTTCTCAAAGTCACTGAAAAAATATATGATCATGAGAAAAGTTAGAACTCTATTTTGCATTGGTGATGTCGATGTTTTTCAGTGACTGTTTCAAAATTGATTTTTAAGATTGTCGTTTTTTTTTTTTTGTGCGTTTGTGTGTGTGCGTGTTTTTATTTTATTTTTTGTGTGTTTGTTTGTTTGTTTGTTTGTTTTTGTTTTGTTTTTGTTTTTTTCTAAAAACACAAAATAGTTAAAACATCCAGGTTTGATTTCCTGTGGTAAAAGGCCGCTGACCAGTCTGGCCTACAGATTCTCATACTTATCAATCTCGAGCCCAGAGTCTTCACGGCTAATGTCAGCGGTATGCTGACGCCGGAAAGACTCCAATCTCGAGCCCAGAGTCTTCACGGCTAATGTCAGCGGTATGCTGACGCTGGAAAGACATCCGCTGGATGGCAAAAGTGTGGGCTCTGGGTACGAGATTGCATACTTATATTTTAGGATCTTCTGCTATCGAACGTCTCCAGTAGGACAAGGCAACAATGAATCATTTAGAACAAGAGATGCTGGAGAGGTTACGTCAACGTGATCAAGAAGACCAGGAATGGTTTCGGTCAATGGAGAAACATCCTCGATGTTGTCTCTTGCCGTCACCAGAAATATTGGCTGTGCACGGCCTGGCAAACGGATCTGACGAAACAAACACCATTGATGATTTCTACAATGTGCTGGAATGGTTTAGAAAGATCGGATGTCTGAATACTGAATTTTATCCCCAAAAATTACTTGACATCTTAAACGRCAAATGTCATTCCATTCAAAAGGAAGTCTATGGCTCTCTCATTCAAGCTGCTTATTACAATGCATTTGCAGCCATGAGGCTAACCGCTGCCTCACACGTCGACGAGCTTGTCATATGGTACTATTCTGGTCATGGTCTTCCAAAAGACAAACTACCAAATACCGTTAATTCCATGCCAGCTCTTGGCAAAGTTCGTCTCGAAGAGAGTTTCAACGACATTGCAAACCAATTCTTAACAAAAAACCCAGTTGTGAAAGGAGGGGAACTCTGTTTGCACCATGTTGGTTTCTGTGGGCTTGAAGGTTTACTAAAACCATGGATAGCTGCTGTTAAAGMTGMATCSMAAAATGCACCAGRCCAGGTAAARAAGAACAAGCATTTGCTCRTCATCTTAGACAGCTGTYATTCTGGAATCCTTGCTGAGGATTTACAAGAGTTGAATAAGAAAAGTGGCCCCTGGAATGAAAATGGCTGCACAGTTACTGTTCAGGCGGCCTGTGGACCTGATGAAGTGACGTTTGGAGGGTATTTTACTCCATGCTTTCAGTTTTTTAACAAAGCTGAAAATCAGGAAAAGTTAGATGGACTAAAAGATGAGTGGAACAAAATGGATGAAGAGAAAAGAGAACAGTTCCGTCAGATCCAACTTCCTTCTCCAAAACTAGTAACAACAAGAAACCTTGATGAAACTGAAGAAACAGAGCCCTATGTTGTTTTGRAGAAACAAAATTCCAAGTTCAWTCTTTTCAAAGATCMAGGRTTTTTTAAGTTTTGTTCTTTGAATAATTTTATGRTGGAAGAGRATWTCTTATTTGATTCAAATAWGRAGAGAGTTCTAAACCAAAGCACTGCAGCTGTCTTTATGAATAACCRACCTTTTGTTGTATTTGACTRCMWGCTCAAGACCTTGAGCACTGGCCCTTATGCTGGMMRTCCAATGGGWWTGTTTCTTCTGGAATACCCTGTGAAACCAGGCTATGCTGTKTGTGCTCATGTYCATTTTGCCCAARATGACACCTCAAARGTTGGRARAATYAACCTTGTTCACCATAAAGCTCCACCCATGGGAAGTATKGAWTACATTGAAGATCATGATKGCCTTTCTAAWAMTAAAGTCAAGAAAAACRAGCACAAGATTGRGTATGCCATGGTTCCAAATCAAGRCAATGCTAAARAARATGWKCCTCKCCACTGGTTAATGTGGGATTGGAAGAATGGWATTCCAAMAGGATTTYCCTGGCCATCAGRTGTTAACCAAGCTTCAAAAGAAGATGAAGTCAGAAATGGAAAAGAATTGGTGAAAGCCTGCCATGAGTTTGTTGAAAAAGATAAGCCAGGAAGGTGGAATGATGTCAGTCAGTGGGATATGAATGCAAAGGGTCAGCTGAGTGTGAAAGGACATTTCAGAAASAGACAGCGGTCAGCATGGATGGATAAGTACTTAAAGATATACTACCCTGACAAGTATGAAAAGCAGCCTGAAAGCACAAATGTTAGTGAATAACATTACAGTATTTCTAAGTTAAAGTTATCTGTGACACACAAAATGACCTCAGCATGGTGGTCCATACTGTTCGACAACTTAGATGGGAACCAGTGCTTATTTAAAGCTATACAACTATAAACAGGCATTRCAACAGAAAAATGCATGTAAGTATGAATTTCCATCATTTTTAGYAACTAAAAAAATTATAAAAGTTAATAATAATAATAATAATAAAAAGTAATTCATGCCATTCCTTACAGGAATGGATTAAGTAAACATAGTTATACATTGTAATAGTGACAAAGTCATGGCATTTTGAATGAATTTTCAAAGTTTATTAGATTTTACATTTTGTATTTGTTTTGGAGTGCATGAAATKGTTTACTGACAACTAAATATTAAACAAAATCATTTGTCTAAATGTCTTTATTTAGTTGGGACATTTGTGTGCAATTTCTGACAGTTCCTGATACACTTAGCAATTTGAACAAGAACGTTTATGTCTCTTTTTGTAAGTCTGATGTTAAGATTAAAAAATAATAGTAAATGAATATAAATTTAAAAGTTGAAACTTTAATTTCATTTAGTACTGTATTTRTAGACATGAAGTATATTATCATTAAAATTTATTAAAAATTTGAAAATAATTAAAACATATGATTTTATTTTATTGGGTTACATTATGTTATCATATATATAGTGATCGTATATGTGTGTAAACCTGTATGAAAAACCTGATACAGTATCTACAATCATGCTTGAATATTTGAACAATAAATTGATATGATAATTTTGATAATTTTAGGAATTACATTTACAATGATTTATTATGGTGTACATGTAGAAAGTCCATCACCTACCTGCAGTCTTGACTGTTAAATGAGCAATCCACTATCATGTCTTTAAGAGCATGTCCCATTTTAACCAAATCATCATACTCAATATCAAATAATATCTTACGCAAGGCATCAAGTCTAGCACGATTTGAGTGGACAGAACCGGGTGAGGGAATTGCGCCATTGAAAGCATCTGTTGTGTTTGAAGACGTTTTTGCTTGTTCTAGACAAAGGATTATAATTAAAAGTCCAATTTTAACAAATAGTGATGATAACAATAASATGATGATGATAATGATGATRATAWWATAATAATGATATCRATAAACTAATATTAATAATCAATGATTAAAAGTTGATAATTGATAATTAAATTGATAATTAATATTATTATTATAATATATATAATTTAAAATAAATTATAATATTATATTAATATTTCAATATTAAATATTTTATCTGTCACTTACTCTTGATTTCACCAAATGCTTTCTGAATTTTTAGCTCAACATCTGGGGTAATCTTACTTTTTCGCATCGAGTTTCGATTGCAGATAGTTATCATTGGAAAATTTTGCTTCTAAATGAAAAATAAGATTTWAAAAAAATCATTAATAGTATTTTTATTGCTCAAAAACTGAATGCATGAATGAATTACTGAATGAATAGAGAATGATAGTCTAATTGGTAGATAAGCAATCAAATAGATACATGTAATTCATACTAGATTCATTTGAATGAATAAAATAGTAAAAGCTTTCTATATATAACAACATTTTTGCAAATTGCTGTAAATGAATAAAGTTTGATAAAGTGTTACTAACCTGAGCATGCTCAATCGATATCTTTGTTCTTATGGGTCTATCCAGGTAGTCTGTGACAATTAAGGCTGATTGGTACCAAAACATTGAATGCGCAGCTAGAAAAAAGGTKATCCAAAAGACCTTCCATGGGATCCCTTTGGACGCTGCCAAACGTCCACATCCATGGGCTGTAGTGTATTCGAGAAATTCATGAACTTTTGGCCACAATTGATGTCTCTCGCCTTGTTGTTCATCTTTTGATGTGTCAATAATTGTCATTTTATTCCTTCGTGATGAATAAAATCAGTAAAAATAATCATAAATATTTGTTAGGAAATCTAATAGTATTATTTTTGACAAAGATTCCCTCTTTGTTTGGAATATTATTTTATATTTTCCAAAAAAAACATGGTGTGGAGAATGGACGAAGACTTTTTTATCAATTTTAATCACAGGGAAGTAACTAGATGGGATAGACAAAGGGGCGCGGCCCTTGACCCAAATAAATTTCGGAAWATTGCAAAAATAGAAATCCTGACTGTCGATGCATTGTGATCACTCTTTTGAGCTAATCAATTATGAGAACAAGTGATATCGTTAGTTTTCTATGTTTCTTTTCACTTACAACAGAAGATTGACGTGGTGTGATATGCGATGCCATTACATAATGTGTAGACATGTGAGAAAAAAAGAAGAAAAGGATCCGAAAACATGAAAGATAAGTAAAGATTAAAAAGAACTGAGGAATAACGAATGTATGAATTAATGTCATTACTAATTGATAATTATATCAGACGCATTATATATATTGATTTGTCTGGCATGATATCTGCGTTGCTATGGTGCTTCACTAACTAACCGGCTTTTATTGAAAAATCTCTCCCTGCTGGAGTCATAAAATSAAGCCAAAACTCAACACGAAGAATTTATAGAGAAACATTGCTTATTAAAGGTGTTTTTTCATGAGCCATTACATTTKGTAAACAAGAATAACGTTCTTGTATTTTACATTCTTATGGAARTCTGTTGTGTTCAGATAAAGTAAGAAAGAAAGAGGGGAAAACCCGTTCATCGTTAAAAATGCTGGATTTGTTTGACACTATTCCGACTATAGTAAGATATAAAGTGTAAAACACATGTATCTTATTAAAGCACATTATATAAGCTAGCATATGTGTGTCATAGTTTTATCATATTTTAGAATTAAAGAATCCGCATTCTTCAGTTTTTCATTGTATGCTAGAGTTTGGTTAGTTCTACACAGTTGCGAGAAACCTTTTCCTCCTAAAAGTGACGTTTCCTGAAGTTTAACCCTTTCAGAAAAAAAACTAAAAATGTTTATTTTTTTCAGAAACAATAAAATTTATACAATTTTACAACCAACAAAGTTTCTTTTCTTACGCCTTTCATGGTACCTAATCTCAT